GTACAACGCGTTTGCTGCTATTGATCACGTTGCATTTTTTTGGATTATCGGTATGCTGATCTATCGATTCCACGAGTATTCGGCGGTATATGTAAAACTTGCGAAACTACAATGTTGTGAATTATTTTCCGAAGCCTTATTATGATTGTTTCAGATCATATCTCTCATTGATGTTACCAAGTGATCAGTTGAAGCTGACTCCAATACAATATTCGCAACATCGTGTACATTTCCCCTGAAATTCTATTCGTTAAATGATTTAAATTCACTAAAACAATTGAAATATCAAGAGAATGCTTGGAAACGATGCGCATCACATATCGTCTGATTTCGGTCCTTTATTCCACTACCAGTATCGTTTGATACTGATCGGTGATTCTACAGTCGGAAAATCTAGTTTGTTGAAATACTTCACCGAAGGAAAGACCGCCGAGATTATCGACCCAACAGTTGGTGTGGATTTTTATGCGCGTATGATTGAGATCAAACCAGGATATCGTGTAAAATTGCAATTATGGGATACAGCCGGGCAAGAGAAATTCAGGTCAGTTCCGGTGAAGATCTTTTTCCAATCAGTTACGCTAATTTATTCGGTTCAATTGTCCTTGAGTGAAATTTAACTATGAAAATGCTCTATTTCAAAACATTATTGAAGTGAACTCACGAATTTTGAGAGTCGCTCCCTGATCAGATTCAAAAAAATGGCAATTTCAGGTCAATAACGCGTTCATATTATCGTAACTCAGTTGGTGTGATCGTTGTCTATGATATTTCAAATCGTGAAACGTTTGAGCATGTTGCACAATGGTTGAATGAAGCTGAAGCAAATGTTGGTGGACCGCAGCCGGGACAGTGTGTATTCCAATTAGTGGGGCATAAGGCTGATTTGAATGCCGAAAGACAGGCTGGTTTTGTGTTCTTCGTTCGAAATTGCTTGCTTGAGTTCGGCAACTAATAAACTCGCGTTTTGTCAACGCGTTGAACGTTTTGACATGAAACGATTGAACCTACTTTGCGTTTACGTTTATTCGTTGTCAATGACATTCAACTGCTTGTGTTGTCGCTATCTGCGCATTGAGTGAATTTAAATGAATACTTCGTTACCTGGATTACCTGGATTGACCAGGCTATCAAACGTTTGTAACGTTGTTGGCCATAATGCTCGCGTTTCGGTGCACATTGTTTTAACCTCAATTTACGCCACCCCGCTGGCTAGGCGAGCAGGCCAGCCGAACACAACCGAGTAATTAATTAGTTGACGGGAATACTTTGCATAATAAATCGTAGCCAAATATCAATCCAATAAATAATCATAACTCTAATAAAATGAATATTCCGCCGATCGCTCACAGCGGTTGACAAAACCACTTCTCGATGTCCAAGTAACTATTCATCCACGAGTAACTATATAAACACTTTCTCCTATTTTACTGTACTAATGAATACTTCGTTAGTACAGTAAAATAGGTGGAAGTGTTTATATAGTTACTCGTGGATGAATATTTTCTTGAATATCTATACGTTTTACCCATAAGTGCACATAAACCATCGCCAAATATATCGTATCAGTACTCGTTGAAATCACATCCATCAGTGATACAGGCTACTGGATGTGAAAACCATGAACACTGAATTTCAAATGAAATGAAACATTGTAATGAATTAATACTCAATTCAAATCGTTAAACACTATTGCATTTCTGTTAATTACAGAAAATGGCATGCAATGAAAGAATATGATAATTCAAAAATAGCAGATACATTGGATCATAAGTATCGTTGATGTCAAAAGTTTCCATTATTACTATTGTCATTCTATTCAAAAATATTTTTTGATTAATGTTGCTATATTTTAGGTGATGTATGAAGAGGGCGAATATTTTGCGAAATATCATCGTATCAAATTCATCGAAACGTCGGCCGTGACAGGAGAAAATGTTGAGGTTTTTAATTTCAGTCGTTATCTTTTTTGGATTTTTGTGAGGATATCATCACTACTGATATATTGTTTGTTATTATTGTTTGCGTTATATCGATGGTTATGAGGATTGTTATCGAGTCGAAAATTTAGGAAGCGTTCACAATGATGGCGCGTGAGGTGAATGCGCGGTTGGAGAGTGGAGCCTTAAGATTGGTAGACGGTTGGGAGGGTATAAAATGTGGATTGGCAAGGTCAAAGTCAATCTCATTATCCGATGTATCCGAGTCGTTTGCACCGTCATCGTGTTCGTGTTGAGATCTTTACCAGAAAGCAATTTTGCATTGAAATCATTCTGTGATTACTGCTATTGTATTACATAATCTTCGATCTACAATTTATTTTGCATTTCTTTCGAATTGAAATCTGTTCGCATTTATTTGTACAGTCAATTGTCTCGAAACCTTGAAGTGACAGAAACTTGAAAGGGAAAGAGGACCAAAAATCAGTTTTGCGGTGTTCTAGGAACGCGCAGGACTCACCGGTGAGAAAGTTTCTATCATTTCAAGCATTCAAAATAAGTATCTTGTCTTCTGAGTGAGAATCTATCTAGTGTTGGCTGAGAAATGAGAATCGTTTTGCCTCTTTTTATGCCTCTAAAGTTCGAGTTTACATCTTGTTCTCTCATTGACGAGTATTGACGCTGAAACGATATTTGCTAAAAACAGCTTCAGATTGAGTAAAATTTTGGAAATAAGATGGAGTCAATGAGAAATGTTTTATACAAGGAAGTTTTATTCTTGTCGTGAATTGTAGAATGTCAGAAAATCTGTTGGTTTTTCGAATACATCACAGAAATTGAACTGATGATTGCGTGAGTTATTTGTGAGTTAGTAAATGTTTGGCTTAGAGGATCAAAATATTTCCTATAGAATCACATCCATATAGCCTATTCGATTGCGATTCCATGAGTGTTGCCATGATTATTTTGATTAATGTATGCTAATCGTTGTTATCGCATTATCGAATGATTATTATTATTTTAATCATTATGTTTAAATCTCATTGTAAGATGCTTTTGATTTGAATTGTGCCTGGTTGCATTATATCGCTTTGAAGTGTTCTATAATATTTACAGATGAATCTATCTGTGGTTAATGATGTTAATGTTTGAGCTGTATTCTTTCTGAGATCGGTGATGAAGTGATTCTTTGTGATTTGTAGATGTGCAGTCAGCTTTTTAGAGTCTATTATTAGAGCGATTAAAGATCTGTTGTTGATTTATCCATACTTATTTTAATCATGCTTAATTGTTTCGTTTGAGAATGATGTACTGTTATAATTATCATTATCACGGTTATCATTGGTATTGGAACACCACTTGGCTTCGAGCAAAATTTTCTTACGTGAACGGGAAGGAAGGGAATGTTTTGCCCAAAACCGACTGGTGTACCAGTATTATTGATGTTGTGAGCCTGAGCCAGGCTATGATTTGGCTTGTATCTATTATCTGATTAACTGTTATCATTATTGTACTGCGAAATCAGTTGTTTTAAGTAATTTTTGTTTTTGGTTTTTTGACTTACGATTAGTAACAAACCTGATATTCAAGAAATGCTACCTGCTTTTGCGCATTGTCAGCTACTCATCGAAATCTGGTGTTCTCAAGCTTATTGCTGAAAATGATTTTATATGTTTTTTCGTTGAAGTTTGATAAATGTAATATCTGCTTTGAATCATGAATTCGTTCATATTCAGTTGAATTTGCTCGCTCGTACTGATACAGTTTATAAGAATTTGTTTGGGTGATTATTTAACCTCTTTTATCATGAATTGTCTTATGAATGTATTGACTCAAATATGACATCTTTTAAAGTTATATTATGTTGAAATATAATCATCGACATTCTCAAATGTTATATTTTATACGCTAACACCTTGTGATACGGGCAATTTATTTGGTCAGTCTATAGTAATGGTGATCTTCATTATTGTTATCGCTGCAGCTGTTAACTAATATTGTTGAGTATTGATTTGAATATCGTGCTGCTTATCATCCATTTTGTTTGCCGAATTGATCAACTGTGTAAATATCAGCTCAAATTCAACAAACGATTTCCTTGTTTTCCACTCAATTGGCATTAAATAACGCCAATTTGATCGAATGATCAATTGTTTTTTCTTTTCTTTTCCTAATTTTTGGAGAATATTCCAGTTCGAGACTCTTCAAGAATTTGAATTGTGAAACGTTACAAAAATCCATCAGTTTGAAATTGTAATGAAAAGTTGAATATTATCTAGTAATAAGTTGTCAGATGATTTTGCGAGAAGGATTAGAGAGTCTTTATTGTCAAATTTAACATTTGTTCTTAGAGATCAGACGACTGTCGTTACGCGCTGTATTGCTTGAAATCTTTTCCGAAATCATTGGTGAATGATTTTCACCAAATTTTCAGTGTTTCCCTATCATCATACAAACTTCAATCGGGTATTATCACCATGCGTAACAACACAGCAGTGAGCCATTGGCGTAGTCGTAATAAATCGAATCAAAAGCACAAACAAAATGGATCATCACCTGTGGCTGGAGTAGCTAATGGTAATGACGAAGAATTTGAAGCAGAACAAATAATGGATAAGCGCGTTTCGATCTCGGGTCGTCAAGTGCACTATCTGGTCAAGTGGAAAGGCTATCCGCTGGATGAGAGCACCTGGGAGCCTCCGGCGAATTTGGTCAACTGCAAAGAGCTGATCCGGGAATACGAACGTGCACATGCACACGAAGCGCATTCTCACCGTCCAGTCACTCCGTTGTCGGCGAGTCAGCGCAAGCGCAATCGGCGATCGACAGCAAAAACGACCGGCATCGGATCCAGCAAGCGACAAGACGGCGGTTCGGCTTCGGGCGCAGGCACTGGCACCGATACGGACACTTCCACAGAGCCACCACCAGCCAAACGAGCCGTTTCGGAAAAATTGACCAGCGAGCGCGATTCTGACCGCGAGAAAAAACTTGAATCTGAGGCAGAAAAGTTTCCGGAAGTAATCGGAACTGGGCAAGGGCAAGGTTCAGAGAATAACCCGGATAAATCAGCAGAAGAGAAGTTGCATGAACCCGAGACAACGACAGAAGAAGAGAGATCATCGAAGCTTCAGAGTCCATCGAATGTTATCTGTTCGAACGGTGGTGTTGAAGAAGAGGAGGAAGAAGAAGTTTTATCGTCAGACCACAATAAGGTTGATACTTGTGACCAGAAAGACGATGTGATCAAAGCTGACACTGAACCCGATCAGAGAGCAATGTCTGAATTACGTATCCCAGTGAATAGCAGTGAGAATATTTCAACGGAAAATGATGAATCTGAGAAATCCGAGAATCACGATCGTAATCTGAATGCTCCTGAAAATAATGATGATGGCAAAGGTGAAGTTGGCAAAGGTGGTGTTTGTTCTGACATTGATGATAATAATAATACTAACAACAGTATCAATAACAGCGACAATATTAGTGATAACAGCCAATCAGTACCGAATGAAGAACATAATCAAGAGAGACTGCCACAAGTTCAAACCTCAGTCGCGCCCCAGCACTCAGAGAAACCGGAAGATGTCTCTGGTGAATGTGAATCGAAAATAATGGAAGT